ATTCAAGAATCTTTTTAAAAGAGTCGATTTAGATTTAAAAGTATAGAATTTTCAGAAACATTTGTATATAAAATCACCACATTTGGAGTCACATGGTTAAGCATAAAAGGGCCCGTTTAAGCTAATGAGTACATTGTGCAGTACTTGAGTAAATGTATGTTATATACCACTGCTCACACACAAGTCAACACTCTTTACCTGTTGACATCTTTAAAGTGTCTGTTTCCAATTCTCCTCTCAATGTTCAGAAGCAGGAATAACAAAGTTCACCTTTTTAAACAAACCTACATTTTATTATTTCAGCAGTGCATATACAGCATTAGTGGTACAAATCAACGGAACATAACGTATATATTTTTTAAGTGAAGCACTGTAGTGAGTATTTTCTTGACATAATCATGTTTGATTTAGGCATTTATTTGTTTACACATTAACTCTGCAGCCCTTAAAATGAGTTATGACCAGCACAATGTAATAAAAAACAGATACATGTACACGTGTATGTGCTCTGAGACATTGCACCAAAGTAAAGCATAGTACGGTCTTTGTAAAAACCAAGCATACATTTTAGAAAATTACACATTTAGATAGTTAAGTGCACTTTGCAATGTGTTCTCACTTTGAAAAAGGTAAGGTATTAGGCTGTTTTCAAAATCAAAGTGTTTGAGTTGTTTGACCCCATGAGGCCGGAGCATTGATCCGAGGTCAGAGGAGCTTCTAGCCAATCAGGAAGTCACCTCACAACAGTTTGCAATCTGATAGGCTGCAACTTCACCGGGAAGGAACAACATGTCATCAAAATACATTACATGTGAGAAGAAAAGTCAACTAGTGGAAGCACGCTGTTTAAATTGTGCCCATGAGGGTCTAAAATCAGATTGGTCTGGACAAATTTGACATATTGCTGTCTGCTGAAACCATTTCAACCAGAAAATGTTTTTAGGGAATGTAACCTAAAAGAGTTTGAAGCAGGGAGCCAGAAAATATCATGTGACAGATGAACGTTACAAACACATGTATAGGTGATGCTAAAGAAGAAAATCTGACATACCAATAAGAGTCAGTAAGAAAAAAACGAGGAAAAGCAAGATTGTTTTTACTTTAAAAAAAACGTAGAATATAATCTACAGTGCAATTTATCCTTCATGATTATTTCCTATCTATAACATGTGATATCTACTGCGCAAGAGTAGCAATGTTGTTATGAAGTTTAATCAAATTTAAACACTAACTCAAAGATTCTTCTTCTTTAGGTAAGTATACCTGTTGGGATATGTAAAGAAGTTGCAGCAGATTTCTTGATATTTTCAATAATCTGTTTACTAATTACAAATGTATCATCAATTCTTTATCCGGTCTGGTTTCAGCTCTTGACATTGAGAGTAAAACACAAGCGTTTTACACTGACATTTTGATAAATGTTTAAAACAGACCCCAAATGTACAGCACATTTGCTCTTTTAATGCTCAAACTAGCCCTATTACTTCTAAATGTGTGCATAAGCTGCTGTGGTTAGCCTTGCGGACCATTCAAGACCATTAATGTCAAGGTCGTGGATCAGAGAAGCCACAGACATTATTACATTTTATTTTGCCACTTAAGTTAGACAGCTAGCAAACTTATGATCCGAATACTTGACTAAGACTCGCTCACTGAGGTTTAACATGATTTATGATTGGCTATGCGATGATAAGGAGACCAAACACTTACAATTCTTCTAGTAAACATCACATCGCTATTAAAAAAAGTATTTTTCTTTTAAACAATGGTCTTTACTTCTTCCATTTTGTACCGCTTACATTCAAAAGGAAATGGTAAGAAACAAAAGAAAAGTTGGGAGCACTGCCACGTCTTCATAGGCCTCCAATAGTTCCTGCTTCTGTCAAAGCACCTCATTTTTCAGCATTATTGAACATTAAAGGCCTGCTGCGATCAAGATTGTGGAATCAAACACCCTCAAACCTGCATAAACACAACATTTTGCATAGGAATTTCAATCCATAATATTTTGTTTTCTCCTCTAGTTAAAAGAGGAGATGACAAATAAGCGAAAGAGTGAAAATATACTGCCGGATCTTTTGGTGTTATCTTTGGCTGTTGTTTCAGAAAGGCAGAGATTTAGAGTAATAAGTCCTCCGCTGGCAAAGTGCTGACGCCTCGACAAGATGAATGAGGGTCATCAGGACACGACATAAAGACCTGGCTGCCACTCAGACTACCAGCTACAGAAAACAAAGCAGATATTGTACAAGTGTGTGTGTGTGTGTGTGTGTGTGTGTGTGTGTGTGTGTGGAAAGTATAACACCCTATAACCTTGTACATTCCGTATTTGTTCCATTCACTTCATTTGAAGTAAAGCCACCTCATTTAGTACAGAAAGAATAATGCTGCTGGACATTAACTGTAATGTCCAGCAGCATTATTCTATTATTAGCAACTGCTTACACTGGTAAGCAGTTGCTAATACTGTAAATTAAATGTATAATGACTGTTTTAGTATTGTATGTTGCATGATAGGTCCTTTGATTTGTGTTGTACGAGTGTTGTACTTTGGCGGCCATGTTGTTCAGTAAAAGACATGTCATGTTTTTTTATTTCCCTTTTAACTTTAAACGACTTCGTAGCCCAGACATTCGTATTAACTGTGACTGACAGCTGCTGCATTTCACATGCCATATTTTTTATAACTGCTTCCTGTGTACTCCCACTACCTCTGACAATATAAGAAAGGCATATAACTTCATCTGTTGCACTTCAGATAGGACTGATAATCGGCGCCTTTAAAGCGCATCTTTAAGATCCATGCAGATGTATTTTTAGATGAACTGAACTGGTCTCCATTATAAGACACTCAGACATGCATGCATTGAACATTTGTATGTGTTTTAGGCTTTAATGTAATAGATAAATCCGCCAGCTGTTTTACCAATTAATAGATTCATTCAGTCGATATACATTGTGAAAAAATTGTGAACAATTCCCATCACCTGTATGTGTCGTTTTGTTGGACCTAATAGTTTTAAATACTTAAAAATGGTATAAGCAAGTCAAAAGCAGCAAATACTCACATCTGAGAAGCTTAAGATAATTTTGTTTGAATAATGACTCAAGAGATTACTCAATAGGACTCAATTGATTTTCTAATTGATGAATCAACTAATCGTTTTTGCACTAATTTGTATTCAAACCAGTGCAATCATAATACAAAAGGTACAACTAGGATATATAGGCAGTCAACACTTTGAGACATCATGAAAATACTTTACATATTATAGCTGATTTTGGTTAGTAGAAGCTATTGTGTGCTTTGCAATACACTTTTGAAATCCCCTAATTCCCCTTCGAGTTGCTAAAGCGTCTTCTGAGACACATTACATCTATTAAGTGTGGTTTCTCACCTCATTTGCCCTCTCCCTTTTTTCCCTCTTCAATTTGTCTTTCTTTTGCGGTATAGTCATGCTGAAAAACAGAAACCCCAGACAAACAGCGAGGCACTTGAGCATGAGGTAGAGAAAGTATGATTTCTGGCTTCAGCCGCCTCAAAAAGTCACATCCAAAATTGTTTCCTTCCCTCATATGGACACAACCTCTTACATTGACAACATGTGCACGGATTCAATTTCATAAAAAGAAAGTGGGCCAGACAACTCAGGATTTATTTAAACTAGGAGAGTTTACACAGACAGATTTCTCTACAAACTATAGGAGCGGAGGGAATTCAACTACAGCCCTGTGAGTTTTGCCAAATTTTGAGGTGCACTAAAAAATGTTTCCCCCTTCAAATATAAAATATGACTCAAGTTACTGAAACGATGCTTGGGATGTGTACCAGCCTTTTTGGATTGAAGAGCAGCCTTAAAGATGAATCCCTTCAGAGACATGAACGCGTGTGTGTTACGGTTGGTTTAGTGTGTGTGTGTGTGTGTGTGCACATATACAGTACATATGCATTAATGCTGATACAACCCATCTTTTGGCAGTGAGCGCTGAAAGCTGTAAATCCTACGAGGCAGTCGTCCATACACTCATCTGTTTATAATCAGCTGTTCTCTCTTGTCTTCATAATCACTTTATCTGTCAACTGCTGTGACCTATAACACTTTCCAAAACCTTTGTTAGTTGCATTTTGACTTCATGCTCGCAGAAATAAAACAATAGCACGCAATACACACTGTTTTTCTGATTTGCAAGACAAAATAAGTCTAGATATTGAGGTTAAATCTGCACTTCAAAGCTGCGATAATTGTTTTGTCGCTTTAATTCTTCCTGAAACATATTCTATAAAGTTGTTCCAGCAATTACAACATCCAGAAAACAAAGACCAACATTAATTTTGTACGTCTGATTGATGTAAATCCAATTGTTCATTCTCCTTTTAGCTCATTTCTGGTCTTCACCATGCTATCAGAAAAGGATCTGAATTGGTCTTGAGCTTCTAAAGGTTCCACTCAATTTAAGAGCTATTCACTAACTTTTTGGGGCCTTTCCATTTGTGCTGGAAAATAAACAAAAAGTGGGTTAATAAGAGCTTTCATGACAAAAAAGAAAAGTCCTGTTCCAGACGGAAATAATGCTGGTGAGAGCAGAACACCAAAACAATAAGCTTGCAGATCTACAGATTTACTGTAGGTCAGGGGTGTCAAACTCAATTTCATCACGGGCCACATCAGCATTATGGTTGCACTCAAAGGGCCGGTTGTAACTTTAAGACTATATAAAAATACATATACAAATATTTAATATATATAAAATAATGTATTATATTACTTTATTGCCTCTGCATTGGATGATTATCGGATAGGGTAATAACTTCATCATTAACTACGTCTGAAAGCAGAAGTCTAGGGCAAATAATTGCAAGTCTCTTCAGTGAGAATGTCACAAAATGATTTAAAAAGAAAAGCCAAATTCTGGAGAAAAAAAAAATAACATTTTGGAAAAAAAGTCAAATTTCAGATGCATTGTGGGATATGTAGTTTATGGGCAACGTGCTTCTGTAAAGTAGCATGTAACCGTATAATAAACATATTATATTCTTTGCAAGCTCTTGTGGGGCCACATCAAATGAAGACGCGGGCCGGATTTGGCCCCCGGGCCTTGAGTTTGACACCCCTGCTGTAGGTAATACTTCTGTGTATAACATGTACACATATAGGTTAGAAAGAGGTGCACTGTGGAGTATTTTACCACTAGTAACCCTAATGTTTTACAAGTGGCGTCCGATTTGAGTCACAGCTGTTTGACACTGTTAATCTGATCGTCAGTTATTGGCGGTAAAGCGCAAAATATAGCATTTTGCCAACAAAGCCAAGGAAGAAGAAGCCCGCTCCATAAAACCTGGATGTTGACAAAGCATGATTAAAAATGTTCATACTTAACCTGCTTTGCAAAGGTTTTACGAAGAAGTAGAAAGGGGACACACAATGCATTTTGTGAGTAACACTCGATGTAAATGGTGGCTATTAAGCTTTGACCTGCAAACCATCAAAAGATTGCTTCCTAGGAAATGATATATAATGAATAATAAGGCAACACTGTGTGTTTAGTATAGCTTGACAGCCATATAATACTGTGAAGAGCAGCTGCTCGTAAATGGAAAGTGAGTTTGTGATCGACTCTGTCCTGTCAGTTTCTTTATGTGCCGTTCGTTTCAACTCCTCCGAACCTTGGAGACGAATGAGGACTCGGGGGTGATGGCGTTGTTGTATTAGCTTCTAATCCACACTTGAAGTCAAAACATCAAACATGACCCCTGCGATCCTCTGGGGGCAGATAGACGCTGTTAAAGCTGACCTTTGGCCTCCATTGAAGACAGATGAACTCTGCAATAAGTCTGATGAAGAGTCCTGTCATGCGATCGTCTCCAGCTCACACGGTCGCTGACAGTTTGAAAAGTGTTGCATTTTCTTTAGCCCTTGTGATTCAGTCCTGCTAAAACAATCCCATCGTGAACTTCTAAAAAAAAATGTAGTTCGACGTAGAGGTGTGTCATTGTCTTTTGCACGTAACACACTCTGCGGGTAATGTTGTGCATCTTGGAGCTCCTTCAACGTTTAAGGCACTTTTTGGGGGGGGGTCACTTTGCCTCTACAGGAGTGATCGTAAAGGTTTTAGACGGCACACGTGACTCCAGCATCCTCCACATGGCCGCAGTTGGTTTTTCCCCAGCCGGAAAACTTACACTGGTGGATGGTGTCTTCAGTCCCGGCACACGCGACGTCATCCATCCAGATCAGACCGGTACCTGCACAGAAAGGAAGAAATGATTGACACACTAAATGTAGGAAGAAGTAGAAGAAGCTTTCAAAATTAAATACAATAAGGTAAGTAGGCGAAATATGAAATAATATGGATTAGAATAAAGTACATGAGCACAAAGGTGGAATGCAACTAATGGAAAGAGACCTGTTTCTTCATCATTAGAGCTATCTTAAAACACATCTGGATTTCACTACAAGTTAACTTTGTTTCTCCGATGGCTCGTTCCTGCATCACTTTCCCTCTATGTTCATGTATTGTGATGTTGTACCAAAATGCACACAAATCACATCTTGTTCCACTCAACATAGCCTACAACAGACTATGCAGATTTGTTCTTGGTTGTCCTTTTCGTACACATCACTGCACAAGGGAGGAACCAACACAGGAGTCTCTCGCGCGCGCACACGCACGTCACTCACTCACGCACGCACGCACGCACGCACGCACTCACGCCACGCACGCACGCACGCACGCACGCACGCACGCACGCACGCATCGCAAGCACGTCACGCACGCACGCACACACACACACACACACACACACACACACATCACACACACTACACACACACAACAACACACACACACACACACACACACACCACACACACACACACACACACACACACACCACACACACACACACAACACACCACACACACACACACACCACACACCACACACACACACACACACACACACACACACACACACACACACACACACACACACACACACCACACACACACACACACACACACACACACACACACACACACACACACACACACACTGACTCTGTCTCTCTCTACACAATCTCTCTCTCTCTCTCTCTCTCTCTCTCTCTCTCACACAAACACACTCTCTCTCTCTCTCATAAAGAGAGGAGAGAGAGAGAGAGAGAGAGAGAGAGAGAGAGAGAGAGGAGAGAGAGAGAGAGAGAGAGAGAGAGAGAGAGATGGAGAGAGAGAGAGAGAGAGAGAGAGAGACACATTATCATCTCACTTTCAACTGGTCTGTACTTGTTATTGATGAAACTGTTATTGATGAAACTGATTTGCTCGACTGTCTCAAATTGTAATGATTGTATGCATTGCTTGAATTTTACTAAACAGACTGTACGTGGTTTGTCTTGTGTGTCATGTTTTGCTTTTTGTCTTTTTGTTTATGTATGTCTGTAAGTTGTTGCTATTGTCGGGACCCCCTTGAAAACGAGATGGTGCGTCTCAAGGGGTTTATCCCAATGAATAACATGTATATATATGTCCACAGTTAAAATGATGCAACTGCAGCCAGTGCGATTGCGCTGTATCTGAAGGAGTCTCACAGTGATCATAAAGAAAGGCAGAATATTCCTCACATTATTACCAAGATAAAAAAAAGTCAAGCCGTATTTTAATCCCACGTGAAGAAGATTACGTCTCGGACACATGTGCATCTAAAAGCAGCTTTCTTCTTCTCTTCTCAAATGTTAAGTTGTTACTGGGATTTGTTGCACTGCTCTGGAATAATGTCACACGAATTGTTATTCAGGTATTTCTCTGCTCTGGCCCAAACAGTTATGAATGAACACTTGAAAAGGATAGAGCTTTTAAAGGCAAGACGCAGACAAAAAGTCCTCGTATATTAGTGTGTGAATATGAGTCCTCTGGTTGAGACAGCAAGTTCTCCTCACAGAAATGTTGATCATACAATTTTGCATCTGCTCATAAAATACACAGCAGCTGGTTAGCAGAGCTTTTGGCGGCAGTGTGTGTTCCTGTTTGTAAAACCAGGAATCACTGGAGGTTTTGAGAAAGTCCCTTCAGTTTTGCAACAGTTTTTATAGGATGGTCGTCAGCTGTGAGGGAATAACAGCGAGATCGAGTAACATTTGTTTCCACTCACGCGCTGATGAAGCAGTTTAAGGACACATGACTTAAAGCAGGGAAGTCAAACTCAATTTCATCACGGGCCACATCAGCATTATGGTTGCACTCAAAGGGTCGGTTGTAACTTTAAGACTATATAAATATATAAATACATAACATATATAAAATAACGTATTATATTACATGATTGCCTCTGCATTGCATTATTATCTGAAAGGGTAATAACTTCATCATTAACTACGTCTGAAATCAGAAGTCTAGGGCAAATAATTGCAAGTCTCTTCAGTGAGAATGTCTCTCTCTCTCTCTCTCTCCTCCCTCTCTCTCTCATGTCAAAAAAAAGAAGTGACATTTTGAGATAAAAGGCATATTTGAGATGCATTGTGGGACATGTAGTTTATGGACATCATGCTTCTGTAGATCGGCATGTAATCGTATAATGAACATATTATATTCTTTCAGAGCTCTTGCGGGGCCACATAGAATGAAGTCACGGGCCGGGTTTGGCCCCCGGGCCTTGAGTTTGACACCTCTGACTAAAAGGGTTTATGCGCTGAAGGTGAGAGGAGAGGCTGAGTCATCAGTGAGGCCCTGAAAGCAACATCTGGAGGCGTGTTAATGCCATCTCTGCTGCCCTTAAATCATAACAGTGTATCACTCAAGAACAAGGAGGTGTGAGATAGGAACAGACTGCTCCGCTCAGCAAAAAATAAGATTGAAAATAGGAACAAACATCTTGTTGGTGAAGTCATGGACGAGGAAAACAACAAGAACTAAATTGAAATTGAAAAAACCAGTATAATGAAAAGCAGAGGAGCTTCAAGCCAGATGGTGGATGTTGCCAAACCTTAATATTTTTGAAATAACTCTTAATCGTATTTCCTATTATAACTGGCACTGTCAAAAATCAAAATGAATTATCGCCTCATGAGGACCATCTGAAAAATCATGCTGTTGGTGATTTGTAGAACCGGACTTTACAGCCCATTCTTTTGATTATTTACGAGTCAATCGCCTTCATTTATATCTGACTTCATTACCTAACGAGGAATAACAAAACGTATATCAAGTTGGTGATGGCGAAAGGAATCCAAGATAAATGTTGGTGCTTCTCATGTTACTGTTAGAACAAGCTATGTGTCACAGGTGATGAATGCAAGATTTGAAAATGTATTTTATGTTGTATATCTTTAAACGATACAAGAGAAGTACATCATATATCTATTTAGGATAAATATATCATACGGAAGAGGATTAGGGACACGTGAACATTTTTAGAGATCTGACCACGTGATGCGATGTTTGGGGGCGGCGCGATTACATGTAATGCAGAGACGCGGGCAGACGCAAATTTGTTTGTTCAATTTATTGCTTGAATGATTTATTGTATGAAATATGTTTTCAAAATGACTACGATTTTGGAAACGGGTTTGTTTTTCAGTCCCGGCTCCGTCCAGTGCCAACTTCGCCTGTATTTTTAACCACATCGGGGATGTATTAGAGCAACTAGAGTTTCAAATATATGAAGTTTTAAAGACTTCAAGTCATCAGTGGACATAAACTCTCCACTGAAACCGATACTAATAAAATGCAAGATGACTTCGATCAACATACGGCCAAAAACCCATGACAAAAATCTACTTCAAAATGCTTTACAATCAGAACAGTGTATTGTCAATTTGGATAAGAAATAGTCAAAATAAACTTGAGTTGTGATTAAAAGGGAGAAACATCTTCCTTTTTCATGACAAGGTGATGTCAATTATTTCAGGTGTCTACAAACAATGCAAATCGTGATAAAAACGCTGCGTTTGAAGTCTCTTATCTGCAATCAGCACCTCAGTCAGACCATGTGCTTCCAACATTCATGGTTTGCTTCACGACGTAAAACAACAAAAGGGAAACTGGCAGCAGATTCAAACATCTTCAAAGCAGCATGAAACAGCAGGCGCACGTGCCTCGGTGCAGCGTGCACACAGGAGGTATGCAGCGGATTACCCCAGCTGTTCTCTCAGGGTTTGCTTTGATGGACCTTTAAACAGTTTACTCTGGATCTCAACACACTTTTTACTGCTCTGTTTGCAGGCCGGCGGGGTTAGACCCAACTTATGAGACTTATCACAATTAAGTGTTGGATCACCAAAAAACGCTGTGTGGGATTTAAGGCGAGACACCCCAGGTGAATAGCGTAATTTTTTTAACTTAAAGGTATCAGCTAGACATTTCTCCAGTTAATTACTTACAATAAGGCAATTGTTTTTTGTATTACAAGTTTCTGAAATAGCATGTTTAAATATGCAAATTAGCCATTATCTCATTAAATATGCATATTTTAACACATTTCAGGAATCGAAATCTGAATTTTGGATAAAGCCAGGTTCAAAATTCTTGTTTCATTTTGTAGTCATATTAGTATCTAAGGCTTTTACAGAAGAGATATTGGATATCTCTTTTTATCACTCCATAAATCAGAAAATACTGTCAACAGCCCTAAAATATCAATTTTCGCCATGTTTTTAGGTATACAATGTTGTATAATTCAGGCTATGAATTATATATGAACACCCAGGGATGATTTAGAAAAGACTCACTTACTTTTACAGTGATTTACAGGTTTAACAAGTTGTTTGAAAAGAGTGTGATGACAAAAACAACATTGGTATCGAGAGAAATCAGTCAGTTCTGGATTGTGTTAAAGAATCCAACATCTGTGACGAACACTCCTTGGGGTTGACGTCTCCTCCCTGATTGTAAGGTCGGATAAACTCCATTTCCAGTCATGCGAGAGAGAAATAATTGTTTACCGATGCAGAGAAAGCTGATATGCTTTATACATGTTTACATTCTTTGAATTATTTTCTCATCCTTTACTGTAATGGTATTATTTTGGCTGAAGTTCCTTCCCTTTTACCCCATTAAAACTATTTTGGGGAGGTTTTTTTCTTATAAGATTTGGGGGTCTACAGAGAGAGAGATCGTATTCTGTGCAGATTGAAAAGACCCTTGAGGCAAAGTTATGATTTGATAAAATGTCTCAGATCAAAGAGACATTGTCAAACAGGAGGAGAAGCATTACCTCAAGCAAGTACATTCAAAAAATCATGATTATGTC